TTTTACATCCTCAGTCTTCAAAATCTGGTGTGTATTTGTACCATTTCAATTGCTCAATTGCCACATGTGGCTAGTGGCTACCATATTTGATAGAGCAGATCTAGAATATACATGAAAGTCTATATACAGTTGCAGTTACCATGATTCTGCTAATGTTAACATTGGTAACATTTTGTTATATTCTCATCTAGTCTTTTCTACATATATTAGTTTTGCAAAGCTGAAGTCATGTTGCTTATGTAACTTTCTATCCTCCTCTTGCTGTTTTGTGCATCTTCCTAAATCATCAAAGGTTACTCACAACCACTGCCTCTAATTATATCAGACTATCCCATCACTTGGATGTGTCATAATTGTTTTAGCCACTGCCAAAATGTTGGACAGCAACAGTGTTTCAGTAATATAAGTAATGCTGAGATCATTATTTTTATATTCCTTGTGCTCTTAAGACCTTGATATAAACCTCGGTAGCATCCTAACCATTTTTAACAAAATGACCTTTGAATATCATCAATCAGTCAAACAACTGGCAACAAGTGATTTCTGACTGACAACTGAGACATCTTAGGTTCTCATCACTCACCTCTGACACCTGGTTCTGCAACCTAGGGCAGCCACTTCACTTTTCATGCCACAGTCACTCCATTTATAAACTGACTGTATTAGGTGATTTTTAAGGGTCTTTCCAGCCCTAACCTTCAGTGATATTTTTCCCTCACCCTCGCATCTAATCAATTAACCTGTCAAGCCAGTTATTATAAGTCATCATAAGCAAGTCATGTCAAAGCCACCACATAAACATTTCAAATTCATCCACGTCTCCCATGCCCACTCATAATGCTTTGTTCAGGCCCCCATCATTGCTCACCTAAAGTGGGACAAGATTACCTAGTGCTGAGAGATGAGGTTCTAAAGTTAACATCAGAGTCCCAAATCAAGAATAGGACTAAATGGGCTGGGTGCAGTGCTCATGCCTGTAATCCCAGCACTTTGAGAGGCCGAGGTGGGTGGATCACTTGAGGTCAGGAGTCGGAGACCAGTCTGGCCAACATGGTGAAACCCCCTCCCTACTAAAAATACAAGAATATGATTAAAGGAGAGGTGTGAGAACACATGAGCCTGGCACGGAGGAGGTGCTCAGTGAATATTTGCTGCATTTGAATCTGAAACCAGCCTCAAGTGACCCACCTGGATCTCATTCCCTGAAAGTTATGGAGGAGGAGTTCACAGTGAAACACTGGAATTGCGAATGCACCCTGCTGTGTGCCCTGCCCCAGACACTAGGTGCTGCAGGAAGACAAAGACTTGGCAGCATCCCCTAAAGGGCTGACAGTCTAGAGGGGGAGATAGGAACCCCTGTGCACAAAACAAGCATGCCTCAGGCGGTGTCTTCAATGGAAAGACCAGATGGAGAACAGAACAATTATCTGAGCAAATCAGGCAAGCCTGCTGTTGAAGAAAAGGCTGAAGGAAATTTGTCCTCCTGTTTCCTTTGAGAACCAAGGGGTTAGGGCAGCCAGAGGAAGCAAAAGTATTTCAGCTCTAGAAACAGAGTTCTGGTCTGTGCTGTATAATCTTAGACAAACTATGAGGCTGCTTTTTTTTTTAATCTCAGTATCTTCATCCGTAAAATGGAGATAGAGTAATACCAACCTGGCACAAACCTACCCACCTACTGGATTAAGTTGTTGTGAGGTTCAATAGAACAATTGCCGATGGGGAAAACAGTTATTAAAGGGGTGACCTAATAGCTAACATAGACAACGGACAACGTGCCTCCTAAGAATCTGCTCTGAAAGGAAATGTTTAGTCATCATAAAAACCATCTGTAATGAACTTTATTTGTTTAATTTTATTTATTTCCCTATTTTTATTAAATAGAGTTGGGGGGTCTCGTTATGTTGCCCAGGATCGTCTCGAACTCCTGGCCTCAAGCAGCTTCTCACCTTGGCCTCCCAAAGTGCTGAAATTACAGGCATGAGCCACTGCGCCCGTCCTGCCTTATAAATTATAAAGTTCAGTAAAGGCTGGGTGTGGTGGCTCATACCTGTAATTTCAGCACTTTGGAAGGCCAAGGTGGGCGGATCATGAAGTCAGGAGTACAAGACCAGCCTGGCCAAGATGGTGAAACCCTATGTCTACTAAAAATACAAAAACATTAACTGGGCGTGGTGGCAGGCGCCTATAATCCCAGCTACTCCGGAGGCTGAGGCAGAGAATTGCTTGAACCTGGGAGGCGGAGGTTGCAGTGAGCCGAGTTTGCACCACTGCACTCCAGCCTGGGCGACAGAGTGAGACTCCATCTCAAAAAATAATAATAATAAAATAAAAAATAATTATAAGGCAATTTCATGTGCATTTATTTTGTTTACAAAACCCTGTCAGTACTATCATTTGCTCCTTTTACACTTAAGGATACTGAGATTTTGCTCCTTTTACACTTAGCTTAAGAGAGCTTAACCAACTCATTGCAGTTCCCACTGTGAGGTCCAGATTTAAGCTCTCTGACTCCTTGGTTCTCACTCTTTCCCCTACACTGTGCTGCCTTCCTGTTAAAATCCTAATTACCAAAGCATTAATATTATTAACATAAATATTAATAATGTTTGTTATATAAGTTTCCCTTTGATCAAGGACACTAAAACCTCAAAATAGAAACTCTGAAAAAAAAGTCTGACATGCAAGAATAGCAAGTTCACTTTCTCATATAAAGGGAAAGTAGCTGTCCCCATCTGGTTTACATTTCATGCCATACAGCAGGAAATATTTAAGTTGACAAATAGGATATTTACAACTGCAACAGATACTTGGCAGTTAGTTTTTAACAATTGTTGCAAATGTGATTTATTTGCTATTATAAAAGGGTATTACTGTGCGAATATGACTCCTGAAATTAGCTTCAGTTTAGCAAGGGGCCTTGACAGCTTGACCTCTTAATATCCTTATAATGACGCCATTTACATTCAATGCTTACTCAAGTCACTCACTGCTAGATTTGTTTGAAAGGAGTCCACTCTAGGGCAGATGTATTATGTATTTTAACACACAGAGTTGGTGAGTGGGGCACTTTCCTTCTAAGAGGAAAAACTGTTTAATCAAGTCTTCATGAAAATGTGTTAGTTTCCAACTTCCTACAGTGAAAATGCATTATGCTAATTACAGCATACTCCAGAAATACTTCATGTTTTCTCCACAAGACATTTTCATGGCATGTCTTATATTAAACACAAACATGTTCTGATCTTCTGCAACTTTAGTTTTTAACTTCACTGGAGAACTGTTACACAGGATAAGGATTGGCTGGGTCAGGACCAGGAAATGGGAAGAACGTAGACTTGGAGTCAGGTAGAATTGGATTCAGATCCCAACACCACCACTTCCTAATTCAATGGACTTGGGTACCTCCCTGAACCTCAGTTTCTTCATCTGTGACATGGGGTTGTTATTTTTTAGGCTGCCACAGAGATCCGAGATATTTATAAAGCACCCAGCTTCATAAAACTGTAGGTACTTGATACATGGGGCCAGTCGTGTTTTTGTTGCTTGTTTAAAGCTCAATTGTCACCTTCATGATGCAGCCCTGACTTCGTTAGACAAACCCAGTCTGTCCTTTCTTTCTGCTTTAACAGTACTTTGTTCCACCCCATTATTTTATCACATATAACATTGTATTGTTTAATTGGATATGTATGTATCTGTCCATCTGTCTTCATCTTCTTTTTTTTTTTTTTTTTTGAGATGGAGTCTCACTCTACCACCCAGTCTGGAGTGTAGTGGTGTGATCTCGCCTCACTGAAACCTCTGCCTCCCAGGTTCAAGCGATTCTCATGCCTCAGCCTCCCAAGTATCTGAGATTACAGGCGCACGCCACTCTGCCCAGCTAACTTTTGTATTTTTAGTAGAGATGGCATTTTGCCATGTTGGCCAGGCTGGTCTCAGGTAATTCTCCCGCCTGGGCCTCCCAAAGTGCTGGGATTACAGGTGTGAGCCACTGTGCCCAGCCTGTCTCCACCTTCGTGATGGCAGGGCCTATGCCTATTTACCTTTGACTCTCCAGTGACTAGGATGATGATATGCCTTGAACATTGAACTGAGGAGGATTCCAGGGGTGCTTCTGGATTCAATGTGGGGGTGGAGGATGACAAGGGCAATTAACGTTGATCTGCCACAGGAGAGGGAAGAGGTAACACATGACCTACTTTTATCATTGCCAGTTTAGCACATAGTAGCTGCTCAGTAAATATTTGTCAAACGAATTAATGGACATTACTCAGTTACCTAGCAGTTGACATTAACTTATAACTAAGGTCTATTTTTTAAAGCATTGAATTTTTATTTTTATTGCGTCATAGTATTCTTTTAATAACACTGTGATACAGCTAGGATAAGGTGTTATCACCAATTGACAATTGAGAGTACTGTGACCTTGTAGGATTGGTAAAATAAGATTACCCTTCACTCTCATGAGAAAATGGGGATAGACCTAAGACTTAGAGGCCAACCATAAGTTTCCCTTAAATATCATATTGAGGTTCCCAGAGGGGCTGTCACTGCTTTTTCCAAAATCAGGGCAAACTGCCCTTTCTCATATTCATCGCTCTTTCCCCCTCTTTCTGCTCTACTGTAGTTCCCCACCCTCCAAAGCTTCTGTCCAGTCTCATTTTCTCAGTAGAAAACCTGGCACTGACCATGTGCACTGACCTGCAGGCCATGGGCAGAAAAATCAAAGTCAACATGAGCTTTTCAAGGCTTGGCATCTCTGTCAGATTGTCTTGGCCAAGTATTTCTGTACCTTCCCGCAAGAACGTTGAATCTTCTGAATCAGACTCCATTTCTCAGTTGAACAATGTAGAAACAGAAGCAAAAACGTCTACTCTATTAAGACACGTGGTCACTGGTTTCACTTAGTCTGATGTAGTTTGGCCTGGTTGGGCAGAGGTGGGGCCTTCGCTACTGTTTGCTGATCTCACCCTCACTTCTACTGCTCCTGTTTTAATCAGGTGTGGGCAACGGGCCTTAACCTCGCATATAGTGACCAGCTGGCCCTGACTCAACTCACCTTATACCTGACAAATGGCCATCTGGATTGCAGTTTGAGCACCCTGGAAGTGCCCCGCTTTGTTCCAAAGGAAAGGAAGAAAACCAACCGCATTAGTGCGCTCTCAGTGCCGGTAAGCAAGAGATGCTTCCTGAAGGTTCTAGGTGTTCAGCAACACCCACTGCCACTGCCTAAGGTCTGTCTAGGAGCCAGGCTCTTTGAGTACAGGAAGAAGAGAGAGCCTCAGGCAAGTCACTGGACCTATCTGAGCAGGGTCTGGAAATGCGAATATGTTGGTCAGAGGAAAGGGAGGAGCCATTCCTGGATGAAGCTGCAATCTGTGGAAATGTGAAAGCGCATGGGGCTCTCCTCTCCTTTTTCCGGGCAGGTACACCTACACCCAATGCCTCAACTACCAGCTGTTTCGCACAAAACCCATATTGTTCTAGCCCAAGTCTCTTTTGTGAGCTTCAGATTCGTGGGTCCAAAATTCCATAGAACATATCCAAAACTGCATCCCTTTCGTCTTTCTTCCTCCTGTACTTCCTGTTAGTGGATCAGGCCAGTGGCTGATAAGATAACTCCTAGCCCCACATCCAGTCAGCAAGCAGGGCATATTGAGTCTAGCTGCTAAAATGCCACTAACCTGACCCCTCCTCTCCACAAAAATAGTGTCTTAGTTTCGGCTTCGGCCATCTCACACCTGTATTCCTCTTAAGATTCCCTGTCCCTGCCTGTCCCCTCCACCTAAACAGACACGGCAGCCAAGGTAGTAAGGTGGAAACCGAGTCTGAGCATGTTGTTCCCTTGTGTGTGATTGTGAACGGACTCCTGTGATCTTCAGGAAAATCCCACTTCCCAGCTTGGTTAAGGAGCCCCATCATGATCCGCCTCTTGCCACAGCTGCCGCCTACCCTTCTCGTCACTAGCTCCATCGGTGAGGGGGCTGGGGCCAGAGTCCTGTGGCTGGCTGCAGGTTACCAACCTCAGCACCCTGAATAACAAAGGGCATAGCCCTGTGGAGACAGTGGGCACTTGATTGAACAGGCTAGGTTGGTCATGGAGACAGAGAACAAAGGCCAAGGGGACCAGATGCCCTTTGTGCAAGAGTGTATTGGGGACTCTTTGGCCACACTGCTCTCACAGCTGCCAGAGGATTTCTTTGGCCTTTCCTTACAATAGTGGGCTTCATACTTTTTTGCAAATGAAACTGTACTTGAAATCCAAATATGTCAAACAGATAAAAGAGGAACTCTAGTGATTAATGGGACGCAACACGAGTGTCCCAGAGATACCTTTTCCAAGCGGTCTCCTTCCTCTCTGGTGAACCCCTTTGGGTCCAGGAGACACTTCTGGATTTGAATAACCTTTGTTTGACTCTTCCCAGGATCTCTGCAGTCACCATAAGGAGGGTACCTGATGTCTTGGGGGGCACAGACAGCCTCCTCCTTCCCCTCTTCTTCATCCAGTTGTCCAGTGAGGTACCAGGAAGAACCTTGCTCACAGGAATCCCCTTGATCTCATTCCTGAGTAAGAAGACAAGCAGAGTTGGACTAGAGAGGAGAAACAGACCTCTTTTAATTATGACCCAGGACCTTGCTAAGAGGCTTTCATGTCCAACTCCACCTGTGGCCTCCATCCTCAACAAAGAGACCTGAGAGACCCTATGTTCAATGCTAGAGGGAGAGACAGCAGTGACACTTGAGCCCTTCTGGCCTAAGTCTATGCCATTTCTGCAAGAAGCTGGGGGTCAGGTGTGGTGGCTTGCACCTATAATCCCAGCACTTTGGGAGGCCAAGGCGGGCAGATCATTTGAGCCTAGCAGTTCTAGACCAGCCTAGGCAACATGGCAAAACCCTGTCTCCACAAAAATACAAAAATTAGCCAGGCATGGTGGAACATGCCTATAATCCTAGCTACTGGGGAGGCTGAGACAGAAGGATCACTTGAGCCCTGGAGGTCAAGGCTGCAGTGAGTCATGATCGTGCCATTGCACTCCAGCCTGGGTGACAGAGTAAGACTCTATCTCAAATAAATAAATAAAATAAAAAGCTGGAAGCAGAGTGGTATTCAGCACAAGACTTCCAAAGACAATTGCAGCTTTTAAGTATGTTGCTTCAGAAGGCTATCAGTGGAAGTTTTGTGCTTTGAAAGTTGCCCATAGGTTTCATTCCTAGCTATAGGCAACATTCTTCTGTGATCAAGTCTTAAACACTTTTAGAAACTGCATGCACACAAAAGGGAGGCATTATGATCTTCAATAAGGCAAATGCCTCTTCAATCACTGGAGAAAAGCTATGCAGGTTTTCTGATCTAGCAATAAATTGAAAGTGCTTTTCATTTTAGAAAGATATAAACAGATATTCCCACCTTGGTGCCACTATGCTTGGGTTGTGCACACACCCTCCTGTGCATGTGTACACACATGATCAGCGATTTTTTAGAAAAGAAGCATGTGCACATGCATACACAGTACGACTCACAAGCAAATTGAAGCTTCCGGAACAAGTGTGAACAGACTATGATGCTGTCAAGTTTATGATCAGGCAGTTGACAGCCTCCTTTGAAGATTGAAGGAGAAGAAAATGAACAGATGAAACCACAATGATAATCAGAGCACATTCAGAACTAATGCCTATAAAATGCTTCTAGTGTGGGTCCTTTTCTTTAATAATATGCTCTATAGAAGGAAAGCAAACCCCTTCCTGGACTCTCAGAAGAGCTGTTGTCTCATCTCAGAAACAGGGGGCAGAACTGTCACTCAGACCCGTTTAGACCAGGTGAGTGGGTTTCTGATTCACTGACCTCCACAAAGAACCACAACAAGACCTGATAAATCCCAGACGTGCATGTTTTAGAAATGAAAAGGAATCACCTAACAGTGTTTTAACTTTCAATTAATGTTCTGTTCAAACCGGCATCAATCATCACCCTTTTCTGTCAGTTTTCATTCTTCCTCGCCCTTTCTGGACCCTCCATACCATGGTTGGTGAGTGTCCAAAAGGGAACATCTTTGCAAACATCTAACACAACCCAAGTCATTTATACACATTTTAGCAGCACATGATCTATAATGAATGATTAAGTAAAACCTTTTGTGTTAAATTATGATGTTAATAATGATTCTGTCTCCTGTAATTTATTATAAATTCTCAAATGCTTTGGGTTTGATTTTGATAGAATGCAACAACAACAGAGTTTATATGATGACTTTATTTTTAGAACTCCTTTTTTGAAGGCACACATTTCCCTGCTACTGCTGCTACTGTAATTATGTACAAAACCAATCACTCATTAGAGTTAGGATACATTATCTTCTAGACAGATGAGGCTAAATAAGCAACACATTAATAATTCAGAGAGCAGTTCATTATGCATGTGGATGCCTGCTTCGTAACTGAAATAAGAACCTCATCAGCCTCTGCCAACCCTTAAACAATAGTTCTGTGTTATTGCAGCCACATTCAAGTTTACGCTTGTTAAACTGCTACTTGGATTATTTTATCAAACATTCATTTATTTGTGGTCCCTTACTGCCGAGAACAGATTTTGGAAGCTCCTTTTTTAAGTTAATGATTTGAGCAATGGGTGTTATTAATTCTCAGAATATTATAAACATGATTAATTTTCAGGCAGAGATTTATTACATAAGCATTTCAACTATGTCAACTGAAATGCATCACTGTCAAAACAAGTATCATGGCGAAAATAGAATATGTTCCACACTTCAAGTGCTGGTGCTCAGAACTAAATCAATTTAAACTGTGGCTGAAGCAAAATTATATTCTCCAGTGAAAAGGAGTATTTTGAGCTTCCTTTATTTAGCTTGAAGCATTCTTGTTAGATTGTGATTTAGAAAGGTAGTTTAATAAGACTAGACTTCTACCAAGAATATTTTGTCTTTTATTTTTTTCTCTTGTTTTACTAGAAAAGGCTAACCTCTGAAATTCCCACCCATTCCAAATGTGGCCAGTGGAAATTTGGAGTGAAGAGTACTGGTCTGGGAGTTAGGGATCATGAGTTCTGATCTTCTCTTCTGGCCTCAGTTTCCTCATGTGTAAAATAAAGGAGGGCTACATGGTCCCCAAGGTCACTTGGGAGATTTGATTTTATGGGGCCTATAGAAAGGACTCTGCACCAAGCCTGGCCCCGGCAGCCTCATGTGTTATGGATGGCTGAAGGAGGGGACATCTCTTGTACGGGGACACAGGAAGGGCCCATCCCTCTGTACTACAACCTTTGCTTAAAAGGTCTTTTTCTTGCAGGATTTTTTAGAAAGGAGTAATATTGTAACAGGTTATATTCTAAGTTCTCATCAGCCTTTACCTTAGCCATCAGTTACTACTTTCAGCAAGAATCAACTACAAGTAAATTCTGCAGATATTTACCCAATGCCTATTTTATGCCAGGCACTCTACTAAGCACAGAGGATATAAGGGTGAGTAGCAAAGCGCTCTGGTTTATCAAAGGACACAGAGCTTTTACTCCACCCCAAGTACTTTATTAAGTGCTTTCCAAGAATCTTTTTGCAGTCCAATATATTAGGCAGGTGCTGTTATTATGCTCATTTTTAGAGAGGAAGGCGAGGTTAAGAGATGTTAAGCATTTGTTAAAGGTCAGTAGGCAAGGGAGTAGGGAAGCCAAGATTTAACCTCGGCCTGTGTTTAACTGTCACGTGTTCCAACATGCCTTGCATTGGCTGAGGATCAGTGATCCAGCCCCAGACTGGAGCCTGTGCTCACCCCTAAAGAAGTCTCTTGTTGAGGCCATTGAGAAAGCTATTCTTTGAAAGGAGGATGTATTTCCCAGTGTGACAAGGTTGTCTCCAGGAATATTGCCATTATCCATTGGCTTCTCGTCTGCTCTGAGCTCAGCCTCAGCTTCTGAGTCTCACACAGAAGCATTAAATAGACCGGATGTTCATAGAGGATTTTAAAAAGGACATGTAACTGGACATGGTTTCCTATACATAGCACAGATTTCCAAGCAAATAACACAGAGCATGGAAAAGAGCATGTCACTGATACCACGAACCATGTAGAAAAGCTTGACTATGTTTTTTTAAAAAATGAACAGTTCACACACTAAAAATAGGCATGAAATATACATCTTCAACTTTTCCAAATCAAGTTT